TAGTTCAGCTTCTCAGCCCATGGTTCAGGGGGACCAAGGGAATGAGCTTGGGAAGGCGGGGGTAGACAGGCCCACCATGGAAGAGGGGAGTTGTCTGTCCCTCAAAGCACTGGTGCCCAGATGCTTAGACTGAAAGTCCTCCATGCCCAGCCAGTGGCTGACCTTGAGGAGGTGGTGTCACCCTACAGGTTCAGAGGAAGGACATATGTGTTGTGTCAGCATGACAGGACCAGAGGGTAACCTGGACACAGGGAACCTGGCAGGTAGAAGGATATGGCATGTGGTGAGTGCCTGGACCCCTACCAGCCTGGCTGGGTTCTGATCCTGGCTTTGCTGCTTGCTGGCTCTGAGACCTCGGAGGCTTCTTGAACTTTAGTTTCCTGGTCCCTAAGTGGGGTAATAATCATGCCAATCTCAGAATGTGTCAAGAGGACTAAGTGAACGAACCCTGCATTGTCTAAGAAGGCAACTGCTAATCACCTATGGTAGTTTGCTGGGAGTGCCATAACAAAGTACCCCAAACTGAATGGCTTACACCACAAAATGTATTCTTTCACAGTTCTGGACACAGGAAGTCCAAGATCAAAGTATTGGCAAGCTTGGTTCCTTCTGTGGGAGGACAATCTGTTCCCTGTCTCTCCTCTGGGTTCTGATGGGTTACTGACAATCTTTGGCATTTCTTCCCTCGTGGAAGCATCACCTCATCTCTGTCTTCCCCCTCACCTGGTGCTCTCCCCGTGGGCATGTCTGTATCCAGATGGCCCCTCCTCCTAAGGACACCAGTCACTTTGGAATAGGGTCCCACCCTTCTCCAGGAAGACTTCATCTGAACTAATTACATCTGTGATGACCCTGTTTCCAAGCAAGACCACATTCTGAGATACTGGGGATTAGGGCTTCAACATACGAATTTGGGAGGGGACACGATTCAACCCAAGATACCACATGTGGCTCATCAAGCATTTGAAATGTGGCTAGTCGGGATTGAAATGAAAGACTACATACTAAGCTGAAATACTAAATCACACTGATTTAGTATTTCAAAGACTTAGTACAGGGACGCCTGGGTGGCTCAGTTGGTTGAGCATTTGCCTTCGGCTCAGGTCATGATCCCAGGGTCCTGGGATCGAGTCCCCAATCAGGCTCCTTGCTCAGTGGGGAGCCTGCTTCTCCCTCTGCCTGCCACTCCCCCTGCTTGCGTTCTTTCTCTCTCTCTCTCTCTGACAAATAAATAAAATCTTAAAAAAAAAAGATTTAGTACAAAAAAGAAATGCAATATATCTCACTATTAATTTTTAACGAGATAATTAATTTATCTCATTTATTAATCATATCAATTATGTGTCAAGATGATAACATTTTGGATACCCTGTGCTAAATAAAGCATAATCAGAATTAGGCTTTTTAAAATGTGGCTGGTAGAGAATTTAGAGTTACCTGTGTGGCTTCCATTATCTCTTGGACAGTACTGAACTAATATTTACAAAGCCCTCAGAACAGGGCCTGGCCCATGGAAAATACCAGTAAGCACTTGATAAACAAAGCCTTCTCTTTGGAGGTGACTCATTACCTGTGGCATTTTATTTTAATTTTTTTTTATTTTTATTTTATTTTTTAAGATTTTTATTTATTTACTCATGAGAGACAGAGAGAGAGAGAGGCAGAGGGAGAAGCAGGCTCCCAAGGAGCAGGGAGCCCGATGCGGGACTCGATCCCAGGACCCTGGGATCATGACCTGAGCTGAAGGCAGACGCCCAACCATCTGAGCCACCCAGGCACCCGTTACCTGTGGCATTTTAAAAATATGACTTCTCCCACTTCTCAGAGACTGGGAAATTTGGGAGCACATTTCTTGCCTGGCCCTTCTTTTATTGTGTGGATTTTGTTTCATAGTCTGGAAGCATATGGCATATATAATGTGGTCTCGTCTTTTCCAAATTGTTCCATGGCATTTTTTCTGCGTGATTATAAACTCTTCATCAACCACATTAAGCACTGTGGTTTCCTGAAAAATTGTTTCCAATTTTCCTATTAACAATGCACGCCCCAACTTTAAGCTGAAAATCTTTCCTGTTAGTTAGGATTGAAAAAAAAAAAGATTTATTTACTTTAGAGAGAGAGAGCCCCAGGGGGGAGGGGCAGAGGGAGAGGGAGAGGAAGTCCCAAGCAGATTCTGAGCTACGCAGGGAGCCCAACGTGGGGCTCAATCTTGTGACCTTGAGATCATGACCTGAGCTGAAACCAAGAGTCAGTAACTTAACAGACTGAGCCTCCCAGGCGCCCCTGTTAGCATTTTTATTGGACAAAATGGTAAAGTATTGAAGGATCCTAATGCATATTGTCAGGTAGTTTCCGAGAAAAGCTGAATCACTTTCCAGTCCTGCCAGCAATGTATAAATGTCTCCATTTCACCAACTTCTACCTTTATTATCATATTATTAAAAAAGTTGCGTGTGAAAAAAAAGTTGTGGGTATATGTGCGTGTATGCACGTTTGTGTGTGTGCCCGTTATTTGGTTTGTTCTGTTTCTGTTTTGTTGCTGATTTGGCCGAGGGTTGGGGGGAAGGTATCTCATTGATTGTATACCCATTTCTTTGATGACCTGGAGGTTGAGCATTTATCCACTAGATTATTTCCCCTGTGCATTTCCTCTTCTGATAATTAGTGTTTTGAGTCCTTTGTCCATTTCTTAGTGCCTTAGTATTTTTCTCCTTATTTTACATGCATTCTTTATAAAGATATCAATTTTGTACATTTTATTTTTTACAAATTCACAGTAGCAACTGCTGACTTAATTGTGTGTCTTGTTTAACACATTTTTGTATTTTTATGTAGTCAAATCAATTGATTGCCCCCTTTGTGATTTCTGTCATTGCTTTCAAGCAAAGACATGCCCTTCCAGAGACATGGTGAGTGTCAGTTTCACTTTCTTTTAGCTTTTCAAACTTTTTTTGGATTTTAAATCCCTCTAGGACAGCGCTGTCCAAATGAAATGCAATGCAAGGCACAAATGCGAGTCACATATGTCATTTAAAATTTTCTGGTAGCCACATTTTTAAGAAGTAAAAAGACTAGAGCACAGAGGATTTTTAGTGAAAATAGTAGAACTATTCTGTATGATACCATAGTGGTGAATATATGTCACACTATGTATTCGTCCAGACCCATAGAATGTACCACCAGAAGTGAACCCTAATGTAAACTATGGACTTTGGGTGATAATGACGTGTCAGTGTAGGTTCATCAACTGTAATCAATGTCCCACTCTGGTGGAGGATGTCCATAGTGGGGGAGGCTGTGTGTGTGGTGGGAGGAACACGGTATATTAGACCTCTCTATACTTTCCGCTCAATTTTGCTGTGAATCTAAAACTGCCCTAGAAAATAAGCTTATTCATTTAAAAAAATTCTAAAAGAGGGGCGCCTGGGTGGCTCAGGTCATGATCCCAAGGTCCTGGGATCGAGCCCAGCATTGGGCTCTGTGCTCAGCAGGAAGCTGGCTTCTCCCTCTCCTTCCGCCTGCCGCTCTGCCTGCCTGCTCTCTCTAGCTCTCTGTCAAATAAATAAATAAAATCTTTTAAAAAAATTTCTAAAAGTATGAAAAAGTAAAAAAGAAACAGACAAAATCGATTTTAATAATATATCTTATTTATTCTAACATATCAAAACAATTATTGCAATATGTAATCAGTATAAGAAATTAATTAATGAAATATTTCATTTGGAGGAATTACGTCTTCGAAATTTGGCATGTATATCTCCATGAGTGCTAGTGACAAGCCACAGTCCCAATACTCAACAGCCACATGTGGTTCATGGCCACCAGATGGATCTGCACAGGTCTGGAATTTGGTTCAACCCAGAGGGAGGGGCAGAGGGGGAAATGTTCTGATCGCCTGATTTATCTCCCCCTTCACCTTCACCTCCCACCTGCTCCTCTCTTGAAAATTCCTGCCCAGGGCGCCTGGGTGGCTCAGATGGTTAAGCTTCTGCCTTTGGCTCAGGTCATGATCCCAGGGTCCTGGGATCGAGTCCCGCATCGGGCTCCCTGCTCAGCGGAGAGCCTGCTTCTCCCTCTGCCTCTCTCTCTCTCTCTCTGACTCTTATGAATAAATAAAATCTTAAAAAAAAGAAAAGAAAAGAAAAAAAAATTCCTGCCCAGCCAACCTGTTTTCTCACCTTTCTCAGTGACCTCTGCCTGGTTCCTGGATGCCATCCTGGCCACCTGTGTCAGCCGCCCACCACCCATGGCCTCCTGACCCCTCCACCACCCCACCCGGGGCTTCCAGCTACTATTGCCACCTCCCATTCCCCTGCCTTCAGGCTGTAGATCCTACCCAGGGGCTCACCAGGGGGGGCCAGCCCAGAATTTCCACCTCTGTAGCTCTCTGCTCTGGTGAAAGTATCAATAATAATAGTAATTATGAAATAATATTCCTAACATTACACACTGACTGGGTGTGGCATGCCAGGCTAACCCTTGGTGGATCATCTTATCTAATCCTCCTGACCATCTTGGGGCTGGAACCATTTTGCACATAAAGGCTTCTATCAGCTAGCGAGCACAGATAGGGCGCAGCCTGTGGTCAAGGCCAGGGGACGGAGGTTGGGGCCCTTTGGGCAGAAACTCCTGGGGATCACCTAGAGGGTTGAGCCGGGTTTATGAAAAGTTCGTCCATTTTGCTGGGAAAGAGGATCTAGGTGTGTTCCCTAGAACTTGCCCACACCTCCTTTATGCCCCCCCCTTCCCCTAACATGCAGGAACCTGTAGGAGCCCCTGGGATGAGGATGCCTGGAGGTAGCAACGCCCGCTGCCCTTGAGTCCGTGCTCCGGGACCCCTCCGGAGCGGGTCGCCTCCCTGCCCCCGGTAGGGTGCCTCCTGGCCACCGCCCGCAAAGCACCGCGAGGGGAGGCAAGAATCCTGCGGGGCGGGGCAGGGCTGGCGCTGTCCCGTTGGGGCGGGGCCAACATCTGCTCGCCAGATAAAACCAGGCGGCGGCTGCGAGGCCAGGAGGCGGGCGGGCCGACTCCTGGCACATCTGCGCCCCGCGACCCCCGCGCCCGCGGGCACCATGAGCGGCCGAGTCGGGGACTTGAGCCCCCAGCAGCAGGAGGCGCTGGCCAGGGTGAGGGGCTTCAGGGGTGGGGGCAAGGTGGGGGAGGCTTGGGGAGGGAAGGAGCTGCCTGATGCTGCCCACCCGGGCTGAAGCCCCCATTGTTTGGATGGAAAAGAGACCCTTGAGGGTGTCTCTATCCAGCTTGCCCGCCACTGGGCACAGTGGCTGAGGCAGACATACACGGGACACAGGACTTGAGCCCTTCTCTGGGCTACACTGGGGCGGAATCCAGCTTTCCGATCCTGCTCTCTCTCCGGACCACAGAGCCCTGGCCCTTGTCCCCTGGTTGTGGGGGTAGGGTGATGCTGCCATCCCTCTGGGCAGCCTTGGGCAGACAGACTAGCAGGTCTCCTGTTCTGATTGCAACATTTGTTTGTTTGGCTTCTCTTTGTGGTTTTCAGACTCCCCAGGGCCCAAGCCTTCTCCCTGTTGTCAATGTTTCCGTTAAAGGGGACTGGAGGGGGTTTGGTGATGTCAAGACAGTCCTTCAGGCTGCAGCTGAGAGTGTCACGCCCTGGGGAAGGGGGGGCATATTCAGGTCTTAGGGGCCACAACATTAATTTGATTTGGAGATGGCAGGGCCTGGAAACTGTGACTTCAGGTTAGGGGAGGGAGGTGACGGCCCTGGCTCACACTTTGGGCCCATGAATGGCTGGCTTCAGACTTGTGGAGAATGGCTCCTACCCTGGGGAGGGTCCTCCAGGGAGGAATGAGGACCCCTGATGAAGGAGGGGGACCCTGGATGAATTCTTAGTGAAGGAGAGAAGGGTCCCAGGTAAAGAATGGGGGGCCCTGGGTGAATTCCCAGGTATAGGAAGAGGTTCCAGGAGTAGAGGGTCCTGAGCTGAAGGAGGGGTCCCCAAGTGAAGGAGGAGAGGGAGTCCCTGCTTAGCTCTCTCTCTCCCCACTGGCAAAGACCTCAGGGGAGCCCCGGACGCTAGGCTCATGGGAGGGACGAGACACCCGGCCTTTGGGGGTGAATTATGATGGAGATGCTTGTGGGTCAAAGAGCTTTAAACAATGTAAAAAGAGTTTATTCTTATTTTTTCTGTTATTTAAAAGAAATGAACGTTAGTTGTTTTAAAAATTAGGGAGAAAAAGGAAAGTAGGAAAAAGAAGTCACCCATGGTCCCAGAGGTCTAGACAACCACGCCTAGAAGCATTTCCTTCTAGGTTTTTCCTAAGCCTAGTTTCGACCACCTGTGGTCATGCAGCCAGAGGCTGCTTTCTCTATATGGCATCATTGGTTTTTTTTTTAAAGATTTTATTTATTTATTTATTTATTTATTTATTTATTTATTTATTCATTTGAGACAGCGAGAATGAGAGAGAGAGAGAGAGAGCACATGAGAGGGGGGAGGGTCAGAGGGAGAAGCAGACTCCCTGCTGAACAGGGAGCCTGATGCGGGACTCGATCCCAGGACTCCAGCATTACAACCCGAGCCGAAGGCAGCCGCTTAACCAACTGAGCCACCCAGGCGCCCCTATATGGCATCATTGTTAAGTTAGTTTTTCCTTCAAGTTATTCCAGGCCCTTCTCAGACGTGGAGCTCCATCCCAGGTCCCTGAGATCATGACCTGAGCCAAAGGCTCAGGTGCCTACCCCAAACCGACCGAGACACCCAGGCCCCTGAACACATTCTTATTTTAAACATCATCTATAAAGCTAAAGGAGGTTTGGTGGATGGCTGTTAAGATAGCTTCCTATAGCTTTGCTAGCATTGGTTTCTAATCCTAAAGTCCCATTCACAGGTTCCCCTGCAAACCCACCCCTCCAGAGCTTACCTTCAGCTCCCTTAGTCCCCGGAATGAGGAAACTGAGGCTGAGAGTGGTTAAGCAACTTGCTTCCAAATCTAGACCTTCAAGATACAGTATCAAGGGCGAGGTTCCTAAATTGTTCTTGTTTGCCTGCATCCGATTCACCAGGGATCTTTGTCAAAATAGGGAAGGCAGGGCCCCGCCTCAGACCTATAGAATGAGGATCTTGGGGAGGCAGAGAACCCCCAAAGTTTGAGAAGGACCCAACTCTTCCTGCCATGGTGGGCTGAGGGGTGCTCCATTCCCAGGCTGCAAAAAGGTCGAGGCAGCCGCTGCTCTCTCTGTGGTCCCCAGCCTGCAGAGTCCCTGGGCAGGACTGATTGACAGACTGAGTTTGGGAAGGGTCGGGGTGGGCTTGGGAGCCGAGGGGTCATGGGAGCCCCTCTGACCTTTGTATCTCCCCCTCAGTTCCGGGACAACCTCCAGGACCTGCTGCCCGCCCTGCCCAATGCTGATGAGTACTTCCTCCTGCGCTGGCTCCGAGGTGAGACTGGCGGTGTCGAGGGTGCCGAGAGGGAGAGAAGGAAGGAGGGTTTCAGGAAAGTGGGTGGGACTTCGGGAGAAAATGCTATAGAGTGGGGAACATAGGCTCTGGAATCACCCTGCTTTGGGTTAGAATCTGAACTCCCCTCCAAATTAGCATGGCACAAAAACCCCATTGAGCCTCAATTTCTTCATCTGTAAAGTGGGATGGGGCCACCTCCCCAAGGATTGCTGTGAGCATTAGAGAGGGTGTACACTTGGCACTGGGTGGGCATATGGTAGAGGTGAACTTCACACCTGGGAAGTTCTCAGGATGACTGGCCTGGCTGGGCCTTGAGTCAGATAGCCCAGATATACTCTTCAGGACTTGCCTATGGGTCTATTTCCAGTTCCTTGAAGGCAGGGCTGTGTCGTCCCCTGAGGGAAGCTGGCCACCGAGCAGGTGCCCAGCAAACACTTCAGGAAGTGGATGCAATTAAAGGTAGAGAAGGAATTTCTTCCAGGGATTGTCACAGGAGTGTAAAATTAGAATAACAGAAACCTAGGGGGAGAATTCATTCCAATTCAACACACCCCATGGAAAGGATTTTGAACTTGAACCAAGAGAGAAGTCAGAAGCCAGGCTGGAAAGTGCACACGCAGTGGGGTGATAATGCCGGCCTTGGAAGCTGGCAAGCCTGTGATGGAATCCCAGCTCCGCTGTGTGCTAGCCGTGTGCCTCTGGCAATCACTCATTATCTCTCAGTCTCACTTTTCTCTTCTGGGTAATGGGGATAATACTGGTCCCCCACCTTCAAGATGCTGTGAGTCTGACATGAGGTCATGGGCGTGCACAGCACCTACACAGAGGAAGCCCTCCCTTCTGTTCTGTTTGTTCTGTTTGGTTACGTTTTTTAATTATTATTTTCTACAAACTTAATTTTTTAGAATGGCTTTAGATTTACAGAGCATTGTGAAGATTGGTACAGGAAGTCCACACATATCCTGCACCCAGTTTCCCCGATCATGAATATTTTTCATTCTTATGGTACGTCTATTACAATTCATGAACCAACACTGATACGTGGTTATTAACTAAAATCCCCACTTTGTTTAGATCTCCTTAGTTTTTCTGTTGCAGGATCCCATCGAGGATGCCACATGACGTTTAGTCATCATCTCCCTAGGCTCTCTTGGCTGTGGAAGCTTCTATTCTGTTTTCAACAAGTTATGTCCATGTCATTTTCCTGGGCTAAAGAAGGAGTGAGGACAGTAGATTTCTTGAAGCCCCTTGATACAGCATCAGACCTCTCTCCTCCTTTGGAGTCTTCCTGGGTTGAAAAACCAACTTTTCAGGTCCCTGGTGTGTCGTTGAGAAAGGAGTGAAGTCACAGACACTGTAGGCTGCTGGGTCACGGGAAAGGAGAAGGATCTAAGGTTGGGAGAGAGGGGACAGGGTGTCCTGATGCCTCCCACTTTCTGCTGAGGCAGACGGGCTGACATGGCCCCGTCCCCTTCAACTTTACCTCCCTGGCCACACTGCCTGCCTCACTAGCCCAACACCTGGGCAACAGGGAGGGAGGTCTCTGGGGCTGAACTTGGAGTCTCCCTGCTCAGGCCAGGTGCAGAGGGGGCCCCCCCGACCTCAAGTCACTTCACTTTGTTTTCTTTATCTCCATCTCACGATTGTGTCCATCTCTCCCACTCGGATGCCGGCTCCATGCCGGCAGGATCTGTGCCTGCCCCATACTTCCAGCCGGGCACATAGTAGGTGCTACTAAAAAAACTATGAGGGTCCATCAACAGTGCCCAAACCACTTTCTATAGAACAAGAAACCAACCTGGTTCTCAGTAGGAAATCTCCTAGACATCACAGAGATTTTTTTAGAAACCAATAAAAGAACATTATAGACAATTATGCACAAATTTGAAAATCTCAATGAAATCAGTGCATTCCTTATAATACACATATAAGGCCAAAATCCAGCAAGAAGAAAATAGAAAGCCCCAACAGACCAATAGATATTAAAGACATATAAATGGTACTAAAAAGCTTCCCTCCTTCCAAAACTCAAACTCCAATGGCTTTACAGACGAATTTTCCCAAAGTTTTAAGATTAGCTGATACCTGCTTTTACACATTGTTGTAGTTGCTTTAAAATATATTTAAAAAGTGGAAGTTACTTTATGAGGCTTGGGTTAGTTTGATTCCAAAATGAGATCAGGACATAAAAGAAAATTCTGGGCTTGTTTCACTCGTTAATGTAGATGTAAGGAAGTCTAAGGGAAACATTACATAATAGAATCCAGTAAGGTATTAAAATTACACAGCATGATCAGCGGGAGTTTATCTTAGGTATGCAGGAAGAATTCAACATCAGACAATCTATCAGTGTCATTGAACACTTTAATAGAATTAAAAATGAGAAATTATGTGGTTATCTCAATGCAGGAAAAGCATTTGAAAAGGCTCAAATCCTGTTCATAAGATAAAAACAAAATAAAAGGGGCGCCTGGGTGGCTCAGTCATTAAGCGTCTGTCTTTGGCTCGGGTCATGATCCCAGGGTCCTGGGATCGAGCCCTATATCAAGCCCCGCATCGGGCTCCCTGCTCTGAGGGAAGCCTGCTTCTCCCTCTCCCACCCCGCCCCCTGCTTGTGTTCCCTCTCTCGCTGTGTCTCTCTCTGTCAAATAAATAAATAAAGTCTTAAAAAAAAAAAAAGTCTTACCAAACTAGAAATAGAAGGGGATTTCCTTGACTTGGCTTGATAATGGTTATGCAGCAAAGATCTTACAATATACGTTGCGAGTTAAGAAGAAGTTTTAGGGGGCGGCTGGGTGGCTCAGTCGCCTAAGTATCTGCCTTCGGCTCAGGTCATGATCTCAGGGTCCTGGGATCAAGTCCCACATTGGGCTCCCTGCTCAGCGGGGAGCTTGCTTTTCCCTCTCCCTCTGCTGCTCCCCCTGCTCATGCTCTCTCTCTCAAATAAATAAATAAAATCTTAAAAAAAAGAAGAAGTTTTAGATGCATTTTCTTTAAAATCGGGAACAAGAAAAGGATGATGTTAAGCAACATCATAGTTTAAACAGAACTAGAGACCCTTGCCAGTATTATAAGGAAAACAAGTAATCTAGTCTATAAAGACTAGAAGGGGTTCATTTTTAAAATAAAGCATCACATTTTCAATTAAAGTGAATTTATTTCTTCAAAATAAGTAATCACAACAATAGTTAACCATTTACTGAGAAGTTCCTGGGAGCCAGGTAATGTGTCAAGCACTTTATGTGCTTTATCTCATGTCATCCTTTGAATAACTGAAAAATATATTATTCCTATTTAACAGATTAAAAAACCAAGACTTAGAGAAGGTAGGTGAGTTGCTCAAAGTTGCACAGAAAATAAAAGGACAAAACTAGAATTTAAACCCAAGTCTGTTTGATTCCAAAGCCTATGCTCCTCACTACCCCTAACACCAAGAGGGTCTGTGCCCCCTTGGGGGCATCAAATATTACAGGCCAGATCAACCTCTGGAATGAAGAGTTTATTTATTTTTATTTTTTAAAAGATTTTATTTATTTATTTGACAGAGAGAGAGCTAGCGAGAGAGGGAACACAAGCAGGGGGAGTGGGAGAGGGAGAAGCAGGCTTCCCGCTGAGCAGGGAGCCTGATGCGGGGCTCGATCCCAGGACCCTGGGATCATGACCTGAGCCGAAGGCAGGCGCTTAACCATCTGAGCCACCCAGGCGCCCCAAATATTTCTTAAAAAGAAAAAAATGAAATGACAAAGAAATGTCCAGACCCCCAATGTATTCTTGGGGCATCATGGAAGACTCAGGCACCCTCGTGTTTCTTCATGAGTTTTCAGAGAACTGCGAGTTCAAGATCCAGCCTCAAGCCTCCTCTTACTTTGGGTCTTTTTGCAGCTCAGAAATTTGACCTGCAGAAATCTGAGGACATGCTCCGGAAGGTGAGGCATCATTCTCAGGAGTGTCCTGCCTCCCACACATTGTACCCCAGGGATCAGTGACAAAGAGTAGGAACGCTTGCCCTGTCCTGTTCTCCTGTGTTTCCTCCCTTCCTCCTTGGATCCCTTTCTGCATCAGACCTGGGTCCCTCACAGCCCTCCTCCTGGCATTGCCACCTCCAGTTCTAGGTCAGAAGAGCCTGGGGGTGCTCTGGCAGGGTCTTGGGGGCTGTAGGCAGAGGGATCTGGCCCGATGCCCCCAGGTGCCTTCAAGGTCTTTGTGGTAGGCAGTCTTCAGGTCCTGCCATTTCTCCACAGCACATGGAGTTCCGGAAGCAACAGGACCTGGACAACATCCTCTCGTGGCAACCCTCAGAGGTGAGCCCCTATGCAGCATCCCCCACAGACCATCAGATGCCTTTCATACGTGCCCCAAAAATCCAGCCATCTGATGGTTGATAGGCTGGTTTGAGTCAGAACCTCATTCCCGTGCCCAGGTGATCCAGCTGTACGACTCCGGTGGTCTGAGCGGCTATGACTATGAAGACTGCCCCGTGTGGTTCGACATCATTGGGACCCTTGACCCCAAGGGTCTTCTCCTGTCAGCCTCCAAGCAGGAGCTGATCCGGAAGCGCATCAGGGTCTGTGAGCTGCTTTTGCGGGAGTGTGAGCTGCAGAGTCAGAAGGTACGTGACTGGGTCCAGGATGGGAAGCGCACGGTGGGCCCGATCTGTCTAAAGGGTGGCACCAAGGTGGCGACCAGGTGGGAAAGGCATGCTGCCTCCGCTTCTCGCCAGGCCTCAGCACTCTGGGCTTTAGTGGGACATGGCTTCTCCTGCAGTCACCCATCTCTGAGCATCTAACGTGTGTGTGATACTCTCTCCTGGCGAGGGCCAAGGATCACCAAATCCCTTTCCCCTCTGACCTTGGGTGGGATGTTGACCTTGGGTGCAGTGAACGCTCTGGCTCTGTTCCCCGGGAACCCTGGGAACAGTGGATGGTCAGCTTGCTTATGGAAAAGATGTCCCCAGTTGGACACTGCACAACCATAACCTGATGGGGGAGCCATCGCTGTTGGCTTCCCTGAGAGCAGTGACTTGAAACTTGGCACATCTGTCGTGTGTCCCTAGAAGCTAATATGGAATTGCTACCAAAAAAAATATGGAGTCCTGTGGGGCAAAGGCCTTCCAAGCCAGGAGGGACCCACACCCATCTGTACAGATCTTCTCTTTGCTCTGACTCTGTGTTTCCTGGTCCATACCCTTCAGCATGAATCTATTGCCAAGTATGGTCTGTTGGTTTTGTGAATCTAAGTGTCTCCATGAGTCTGAGAAGACCTCTGGGGCGGGGGGGGGCTCTTGTGTCACTTTAGGATGATCTGCCTGTTGGCGAGGACAGGGCCTGCATCCCCAGTGTCTGTCACGGTGCTGGACACCAAATAGACCCTTGGCACAGAAATTTGTGGCAAGCATGAGAGACTTGCAAACAGTGGCTGGTCCGAATAGATGTGTGTGTCTCGAACAAGATGGCTGATTTTATGGGGTCACAACGGGGTCTTCTACTTCGTGTACATTTCCAATCAGAGCTGGTAATTGTGGTGATGATGATACCAGTAATAACATCTGCTGACATTTACCAGGGGCCAGCTCGTGTCAGGCACTGGGCTCTTTGTGACTCATCTCACTGAATCCTCCTGGAAATTCTGTCAGAACCTGGAATTAGCCCCATTTCACAGAGGGAGAAAATAAGGCTCAGAGCAGTTAAAACCCCACCCAAGGCCGCACAGCCTGCCAGCACTGTAGCTCTGGCTTGACACACCCCCGGACTGCAGACGCTGACTGACGCAGTGTACTATTGTACAGGGAGATGCCCGGTGGGCAACGAGTGAGGTCTTCAATTCTACAGTTAACTAAGTCCGGCCAGTCGTGTTGAGCAAACAGTGTGATAAGGGGTCACTTTGCCGGGGCTCAGATGCAGCATCTTCTTAGACCCTAGGTGGGCTCAATCTGTTTGGAAGGCCCTGTGGGCAGTTAGGGGTGGGGGTAGCAGGAAGGTGGGAGCAGTGCGGGGTCTCCCAGGCCGGGACCCCCTGGCCGGAGTTGTTGTGTGACATCTATCATTGTGCTGTCCCATGTAGCTGGGCAGGAAGATTGAGACGGTGTTGATGGTGTTTGACATGGAGGGGCTCAGCCTGAAACACCTGTGGAAGCCAGCTGTTGAGGTCTACCAGCAGGTGAGGTAGGCGGCTGGCTGGGGGCCAATAGGGAGCTACTTCTGGTCCATGGAGGAGGATCACCCCCCGCCCCAGGGGCCCAGAGCAGCCAGTAAAGCTGGCCTGGAGTCCCCTCACCTCCAAGGAGAAAGATGAACAAGAGTATCACAGGGGATGAAGTGCATCTCAGGGGGAAGGTGGATGGCCAGGGGTGGCAGGGGCTCTTGTGTCAGCAGCATTAAAGGCCATCAAATCCAGGCATAGAATGTGTTGAAGCATGACCTTGACCAGACTCATCTTGCCACAGTTTTTTGCCATCCTGGAAGCAAATTATCCTGAGACGCTGAAGAATTTAATTGTCATTCGAGGTGAGCCCGTGATGGGGATGACCGCTTGGGGGAGGGGGAGTGGGGAATGGGGGGCTCAGTGGGTAAACCACCCAGTGTAGGGCTTCTCAAGCCATCCTTTGTGAAGATCAGGGTTTTTTTGTTTGTTTTTTGTTTTTTTTAGTCAGTCCTTCATAGACCAATACTTTTGGAAAATACAAAATCTGCTCTGGCATGTTGCAGCAAATGTCAAATAAGTTACAAGTTTCTAAAAGTGAACTGTTATTTTCTTTACTTGTCTCGGTGTGGAATGGTAACAGATCGTTCATGGACCACACTGGCTGATAGACATGCTTTGAGAGGGAATGGTCCCTGTCTGTGACGGTTGTACAGTGAAGGGAACACCATGTGTGCTCTGGGGTCAAATGAGCTGCTTTCCAGTCTAGCTAGCTCTGTGATTGTGAGCAAGTCTACTTAACCTTACTAAGCCTCAGTTTTCCCAGTCTGTAAAATAGGAATGCAGTGACACCTTCCCTATAAGAAAGCCATGAGGTTAAATGAGACAGTCTGTGGAGGAAGAGCCCACAGAAAGCACCCAGTCAGTGTGAGCAATTCAGGTGGGACATGAGGTCTAATGCAGATGCTCCATCTGCTTGCACCCAAGAAAATTCCAAGACAACTTGGGAAACCTGTGAATGTGGACAAGAAGAGGCACCATAGGGAAATCCACATTACTGACACCCTACAACTAGGTGGGGGGGGGCAACCATTTATTGAGAGCCAGGAGCTGTGCCAAGTGTTATGCATACATTGTTTAATTTATCTCCGTTTTATAGTTAACAACACTAAGACTCAGAGAGGCTGAGTAACTAGCTGAAGGTCACACAGCAGGAAGTAGCAGAATCTAGATCTGTCCAACTCTTGTCCAGCCCAGGCCCCTGGCCATGACTATATCTCCAAGTCCTCTCTAAGCCAGCTTCCCAAAGGAGTTTCATGTGTTTCAGCCCCCAAGCTGTTCCCCGTGGCCTTTAACTTGGTCAAGTTGTTCATGAGTGAGGAAACGCAAAGGAAGATAGTGATTCTCGGAGGTGAGTGTCTTGGCTTCCTGGCTGGGCCCATCTCGGCCTGCGCAAGTAGAGGTCAACGTGAAAGGCCCCATTTCTCCCTGGCTCGTCCTCTTTACTCAGGCACTGACCTTGGCCTGAGTCCCACTGGTCTTTGCACACTCTCACAATGCTTCGGGCCCTAGACCCCAGCCTGGGTGGCCACATAAAGCATTTGAGTGCTTTCAGGAGTAGGTGCTCAAGGGAGTAAGCCAAAGACATATCAGGTTTCCTCCCTGGGCGTGCCCTCTCTGCTCTCTGTTAAGCCCCCCCCCCGCCCCGAAACCTTGCTCCCATAGGCAACTGGAAGCAGGAGCTGCCCAAGTTCATCAGCCCTGACCAGCTGCCTGTGGAGTTTGGGGGGACCATGACTGACCCCGATGGCAACCCCAAGTGCCTGACCAAGGTACAGGGTACCCAGAGGAGTAGGAGGGAGGGGTGATGACCATGGTGCAGTGCTTACTCACCAGCCCTCACCCACAGATCAAATACGGGGGCAATGTGCCCAAGAGCTACTACCTGCGCAACCAGGTGAGGATGAATTATGAGCACACGGTGACTGTGGCCCGAGGCTCCTTCATGCAGGTGGAAAACGAAATCCTGTTCCCAGGCTGTGTGCTCAGGTAGGGATGGCGGCCACGCGACCCCTGGGCACAGCCAGGAGGGGCCTGCAGCCCAAGCAGGTGGCATTAATGGGGCCTTGTCTCCTGCAGCTGGCAGTTCGCATCAGAAGGGGCAGACATCGGCTTCGGGGTTTTCCTGAAGACCAAGATGAGCGAGAGGCAGCGAGCAGGGGAGATGGTGGAGGTGCTACCCATCCAGCGCTACAAAGCCCATGTGGTCCCTGAGGACGGGAGCCTCACCTGCCTCAAGGCCGGCGTCTGTAAGAGCTGTAGGATTCCCTGGAGTCGTTTTCCTCCTTATGGCACAGAAATGAGCTGATAACATCTTGCCAGGCTGTCCTGCTTACCCTCTATTTCCAGCTCTCAGGGAGGGTGTGGGGGTCTATGAGAGCTACTAGATCCCGTGGTGGTCAGGGGAATTGGCTTCAGGACGTTAGATCTGGTGAGTGGCCCCTGGGTATGCGTACACGGGCAGAGAGGCGTTTTAGAGAGTGGGATTCACAGCCCGAAGCCACGGACTCAGCTCCTGGGAAGCCCTTACACAGCACTCAACAGGCTGAGGGACAGGTAAGTAAACAGCCATGGGCTACCCTTTAGGGGTCCCCGGCTGCCCAGGTGCATACGCATTCCTACTGTGGGAATCCCAAAGAGATGATTCTTCCATGTGTTTATCCTTCATTCTCAGGCCACCCAAGCCAAATGCAGTTAGGTCAGTCTTACCAGAAGCAATGTTCCCCAGGAGCAGCACTGACCTTCCCCCTCTGTCGGGAACAGAGCTAGGAGAAGGGGAACCCCGGGTTGAGGAGCACGAGTTTTACTAATGCTTTGGTTAATCCATATCTAGTTCACCTTTGTGGAGAGGGAGAATTAGAAGGGTGGAGACCGAGAAATCTGGATGACTCATCACATCCCAGAGTTCACTTTGCACCTTGGCATCTAAGGAAATGCCTTCTTTATTTTTAAAAATTTTTTTATTGTTATGTTAATCACCATAGATTACCTCATTAGTTTTGGATGTAGTGTTCCATGATTCATTGTGCATAACATCCAGTGCTCCACGCACAACGTGCCCTCTTTAATACCCATCACCAGGCTAACACATCCCCCACCCCCCTCCCCTCTAGAACCCTCAGTTTGTTTTTCAGAGTCCATCGTCTCTCATGGTTCTCTCCCCCTCCGATTTCCCCCCCTTCATTCTTCCCCTCCTGCTATCTTCTTCTTCTTCTTTTTTTTCTTAACGTATATTGCATTATTTGTTTCAGAAGTACAGATCCGTGATTCAACAGTCTTGCACTATTCACAGCGCTCACCATAGCACATACCCTCCCCAATGTCTATCACCCAGCCACCCCCATCCCTCCCCCCCCCCACCACTCCAGCAACCCTCAGTTTGTTTCCTGAGATTAAGAATTCCTCATATCAGTGAGGTCATATGATACATGTCTTTCTCTGATTGACTTATTTCACTCAGCATAACACCCTCCAGTTCCATCCACATCGTTGCAAATTAAGGAAATGCCTTCTTTAAAAGGCATGATGGGAAAGTGGCTTATGGAGCTCAGCCCTCTCCTCTGGGGAGAGCAGAGCTCCTCTCTCCGTTGGAGCGTCAGGATAAGGGAATCCTAGTCCCTCTCTTCCCTTGCTCTGTACTCAACAGAAAGTCCTCTCAACCTCTGTAGGCCTCAGCTTCCTCATCCTTAAAATGGGGATGATAGTTCCTTCTGTGGGGCTTCTTTGAGGATTTGGAGAGCTGGGAGCGCAGATGTGACACCTGGCACATAGAAGTGGCTGGTGCATGCCCGTGGTCATTATTCCTTTAGTTAACACAAGGAGATGGCTTGAGCAGTGGGCACTGGGAGGGCGGGGCAGTGGCTGACCCTCCAGCACCACCCCCAGTCCTGGGCCCATTGCCAAGGGCACCAGGTATGCAGATATGTCAGGCTGGTTTTGAGGGATGACTTCTCCACCCTTGCAGATGTCCTGCGCTTCGACAACACCTATAGCCTGATGCACACCAAGAAGGTCAGCTACACTGTGGAGGTGCTGCTCCCAGACAAGGCCTCCGAAGAAAAGATTCAAGGTTTCGAGGCGAGGAGACCATCCCCAGTGCAGTGAAGACCCTGGCTGCCTCTGTGCCTGGACTCTTCAAGCCCTTAGCAGTCCCCTCCTTATCCCCTGCCCTCCCACGTGGGGTGGTGTTTGGAGGAGCCAACCACCCTGTATCACCATCTCAGCTCCTTGTGGGGCCCACCAGGCACGGGGGCAGAGCAGGAGGGGGACATCCAGGGCATGGCCACCCTGAGGATTCAGACAGACACCTGATCCCCTGTTTGCAGAGACTGAGGTTGAGCCAGGGTCCACCGAAGAGGTGTCCCGCCCGCAGAAGCTTCTGTCACACCTGACAAAGTCCACCAGTCTCAGTACTCACCCACACCTAGTGATCTGGTCTGGGGGTGTGTGCATGAGCCCCAGGCCATGCAGGGAGCATAGAGTCAAGTCTGAAGAGCAGAGAAGGCCCCATCTCTGCACGTGGGGGCTCAGCAGGGGTGGACAGGGCCAGCTGGAAGTGGCCGGGCGGAAGGATGGGGCCAGTTGGGTGGTAGAACTGAGGGTCTTGGTTCTGGGAGGGCACCAGGGCCCTTTGGACCTGCTCTCCTGCCTTTGGAGGGAAGATCAGAAACGGAGCATGAGGCCCAGCAGGGATAACCTTCAGGAGGAAAAGCCATGCTCAGTCACACAGAGCTACATGGGTGAAGACCGAGTCTCGGAATTCTCAGCGACCCCAGCCTCCCCCTCCCCACCTGCCGTGATCCAGCTGACATTCAGCTTGGGTTCTTTCTGACTCTGAGTAAGGACCAGGACTGTAGCAGAGCTGGAGTGAAGTGGAACATGCTGGAATAAAGTAGAACAAGTTGGGGTGGAGCTGTCATCCTAGCGTGCTTATCCTAAACTCTGATTTTCTTCTTGGAGAACCATCGAGCTTTTTCTCCCATCTTTGTGTCTCGCTAGAGGGACTGCTAAGGGTTGGCTGCCAACTCCCCACCACCCCACCCCAAATGCGACTCAGTAACTGGCCGGTAATGGCTTCTGTTTCCCAAAGACTGGCTCTCCTGGTGCCCACAGCCCACAGTCAGGACCACCGTCTGCTCTGCTAGATGAGCTGCCCCCAACAGAGCAGACCTGGCCTGCAATGAGCCAGTGCAGCTGCTCAGTGGTCAGAGGTCCCTGTGAGAGGGGTCCTTGGTGCAAAGCATTAGCATCCTGGCCGCCAAGACCTTTACCAGAGGCAGGAAGCCTCAGCAAACACTAACATCCAGGTGCTTTGCAAAGAAGAAGCCGGCTCAGGCCCCTTTCTTGCTCTCAGATTCTGTGATTTCATTTTTTTCCAGTTAATAGCTTTCCTGGTTTCCCATGGCCTGTTTTTCCCAGGCAAGAAGACAGTGAGGCTTGGGAAGATGGGGGTCTTCAGGTAAGCTATGTGAGGTCCTCGGGGCCTCTGGCCCTCCACCTGTGGCAGGCTGCATCACCCATGGTCCAGCACACAGTCTGAACAGGGGCTCTGCTGCTACAGAAAGCAAACTAATGGGAGGAAACACGACTTGAAAGCCAGTGCATGGAGGCATGGCTGATCCAACAGTGTTTGAGGAGTTTGGCAAGAAAAAAATGGCCCTGCCCGCGCCAAGGAGACAGCCCGGGGCTGCCAGATGAAAATCACCGGACATCCTTGTGTCCAAGGGCTGCTTCTGCCTCCCCGCTGCAACGGGCTCTCCCACCACCCCACTCCATGCTGTGGCGGCCCTCCCCAGACCCAGAGGCACTTGGGCATTCCAGAGCCATCTGCCTGCTGCACAGGTTAGAGAGGGTGCAGCTGGCTGGGGTTGTAAGGGCCCCAGGTCAGGTTTCCCTGGGCCCACCTGTTGTCATGACCGGGGTGGGGGTGCGGGGGTTCACAATGTCTCACTTCAGCCTTACAACCCCGGCCTAGAAACAAGGGGTTCACGGATTTGAACCCTGATCCTTGCTTTTCCAACACCCACAGCCCATTTTCCACAATCAGCACAGCCTCCTCTGGCTTCCTTGCAAGTAACAGATTGGTCCCCACCGTGCACAAGGGTTTAATTTACACAAATAAGGGCTGCGCAGGGAGTGGCAAGTAACAGAGGGCTCAGGGGTCACGGGTGCGGGCACCCGTGACCTTGAACCCCAGAGCCGGCAGAGTGCACTGCATGTGAAGCTGTGAGTACAGTGGTCACCTTCAGAAGTGAGGACAGGATCTCTGTCTGGCAAGGTGGACAGGGAACATGTCCTCAACAACTCCGTCCCTGACTCGAAGCCATCGCTTCTTTACCAAAAAGATGTGCGGGGGGGCGGGGGGGGCGCCTGGGTGGCTCAGTCGTTAAGCATCTGCCTTCGGCTCAGGTCATGGTCCCAGGGTTCTGGGATCGAGCCCCGCATTGGGCTCCCTGCTTGGCGGGAAGCCTGCTTCTCCCTCTCCCACTCCCTCTGCTTGTGTTCCCTCTCTCGCTATGTCTCTCTCTGTCAAATAAATAAATAAATCTTAAAAAAAAAAAAAGGGGGGGAGTAGCCCAGACAGGGGCTAGCTCACCTGCAGTTTGTTTCTTCCTTTCATTCATTCATCAGTGTTTATTGAGTGCCCAGTACCAGGCACTTCAGGCCCTGGGGACACTGGAGGTGCTGGGCTTACCCCAGTCTGCTGGCAGGAAGCTTGCCTGCACTAAGGGAGGCCCAAGTGATTCTGATGGCTGTTATCAAGTGGGCAGCTCGGTAGGGCAGGAGCCAAATTCAGGGGGAGCATCCAGCAAAGAAAAACAAAAACAAAAAACCTGATGGGGGAGCAGACGTGCTTTGCCCGAGGCAGGACCCCAGAAGAGAGAGCTGGAGGTGTAAGCGAGCCTTCCAGACGGAGGAATGGAGTTAAGGGCAGCTGTGGGGTGTCTGAAGCCACAGGAAAGCCAGAAGGGCCCTTGGGTGATGCTGGTAATGGGTCACTGATGTTTGCTATTTCTTTGTGAATGACTGTGTACACATTAGGTAGTTAATACGATCATTTCATAATGGAGGTTACAAAACAGAGATTTGTTGTTTGTCAGGAAAGAATGGCAAAATCTTGGCAGGAAGCCATGGATCAAAGCTCTTACTCAAAATGAAGTGGTTGGAAATAGCCAGGCCTTCCCTGTCCCGAGGAGTGGAGGCAGGGCCTGCCCTTCCCAGGGCCGATCTCCTAACTGGAATCTTAACAATCTTCCAGGGGAAGCAGGGAAATAAGCGGGGGGTGGGTGGGGGTAACTATAGGGTTTTTTGAGGGCAGTTGGGAAGTCTCCCCTGCCCCCCAAATCTCTACCTCAGTTCAGCTCACCTTCCAAGAGCCCAGGCCGGAAGGGACACCAGTGTGGGACAATCACGGCTTCACAAGCACTCGAGCAAGTCTTTACCGGGGCTCCAGGGCACAGCACACCACAGTTTGTACACAGCCCCTTCCGTGCGACCCCGAAGAGGCGGGGATTCTAGTGAGGACGCCAAGGCTCAGTGAGAGGGAGTGCGGTGGCCTAGGGCTTAGTGTCTAATGGCAGGGGTGAAGCCGGCAGCACCCAGATTAGCCGCCAGCAGTGCCCCTGCCCTGCCCTGCCTTTCGGGGTAGGATAGGGTCAATGTGGGCAGGGAGGGCCAGCCTGGGGCAGAGAGTGGCGCTGGCCAGAGTCTGGAAGCTGCCTCTCTGCGGGATGGGACAGTGCCGGCTCCAGTCCACGTGCCAGGCCCAAGCTGATGCAGGAAGCATCACCCCCTGTTTACCGAAGAGGAGAGTAAGGCCCAGGGCAGGAAGTGACTTGTCAGGTCACCCAACATAAAGGCAAGGGGGGAAGGTAAGACGTGAAGCGAGGTTCATCTATCCAGACAGCCCAGGTGCTAAATGAGCTCATTGGGTGGGCAGGCTTCAGGCTTGATGACTTCAGAGAGGAGGCGGGGGCAACAGGCTTGGGCAGGTTGGTACTCAGCTGACGTCGGTGACCTCCACGCTCAGCCACCAGAGGGTGGTGTTGGGCCAAGTGCCCCTCTTTCCCTATGGTGGAAGCCTGAACAGGACTCCTCAGCGTCCAGCTCTCTGGCTCGTGAAGGGTTTTGCAGGCAGGTTGAGGGGAAGTTCACTGGACCCAGGCTGTTTGTGGGCCCATCCGGAGCAGCAGAGAGAGGTGGTCCCACCTGGGTTCAGATCCTGGTTCTGCCCCTTACTGGTTTTCTCTCTAAATCCCTGTGGACTCCATCCTCCATCCCATGTCTGCCACCCTAGTCAGGGCCTCAGTCATCTCTTGCTTGGATTATTAGAAAAGAGTCCATGAGTCAGTCTCCGTGTGCCCGTCCTCCCGCCTCCCAGGAGACTCCACAGGGCAGCCAGAAAAAGCCTTTCTGAAATGAAAATCTGATCATCACTTCCTGTGTGAGCCCTTCACTGGCACCTCATTTCCTCCCGGGAAAGCTAGGTTTTCATTGGTTGCTTATAAGGCCCTCTGTGACCTGCCTATGACACTCTCATTGCGGCTTCACCCAACGACCTGAACTCACCAATTCCTCAGACTCCTTCCTGCCTCCCTGCTTTTATTCATGCTGTGCCCTCAGTCTAGGACGCCCTTCCCAGTCTTGTTCTGTGCACCCTCAAGGCTCCCAGGGCCCTCTTTCCCTAGTCAACCTCCCCCTCCCCAGTGCCTAGCAGAATTAGAGTCTTGTCTCCATGCCCTTGGGATAACAGGGCCAGTGCTAATCATGCAGGAGAGTCGTCATCTGTCTCCTCTTCCCCACCAGCCTCCCCAGATGTTCAATAAAGCCTCGCAAAAATAATAGACACCATTTACTGAGCACCTATGTAGGCCCGCTGCTCTTGTGCTATTTTGTTTGATCTTCATGGCAGCCTTGTCAAATAAATACAGTCATCCTGGTTATATAGGGGAGGAAAGTAAGGCTCGGATACGCACTCATTTGCTCAGTAATGTCGCCAAGACTGGAATTCAGGATGTCCGACTCCAGAGCAACATGTCTCCCTCACCCATCCACCCCCAGAGGTTAGGTCATACCAGGAGCACTGCCAAAAAGCAGAGCCTAACAGCATGACTCAGCACAGGGAGATACCCAAGTAGAGGGTCAGAGAGTCACAGAACAGTGGAGAAGGAACCAGAAAGGATGGGCTCACCTAACTGTGTCCCCGTCCTGGAGTTGATGGTAGGCCTGACAATAACTATAAAATCCAATGCTAAAAAAAAAAAATAATAATGATAATAATAATTAATAATAAAAGCCAACACTATCCAACACTGGCTGGCTCAGTTGGAGAAGCATGCAACTCTTGATCTCGGGGTCATGAGTTTGAGCCCCACATTGGGTGTAGAGATTACTAAAGAAAGTAAATAAACTTAAAAAGCCAACACAATTGGTCACTTACCGTGTGCCAGGCAGTGGGTGGTTACTGGCTTCTAACCATTTCAGTAGCCTTATAAGAGGAGGATGTTATTAGCCCCAGTTTGCAGGTGAAAAAACTGAGACTCAAAATCACACAGAACATTACAGGTGAAGCTAGGATTCAAACCCAGGCCCCCAGGCCTAGGCTTCAGCTCCACACATTTCTGAACTATTTGGGGATATTTGCTCAGTGTTGGGAGAGGAATTACACCTGCTTGGGTGGTTTGTTTGTGATCACCCCCAGACTCAGCCTCCTCACAGTAGTCTTGGGCACTCCAGGTTTCCCAAGGGTGGCAATAAAAGCAGAGAACAGTTTGGTATGAAGAACTTGGAACACTCAATGCCCTTAGGGTGCCCCAGGTATTGTGAGAGGGATATGCCAGCACCTGTCCCAGAAAATATATAAGCTCCCCTACTTTGCAGCC